ACCTCTTGGGCAGTCGTTGTTACACAGTATAACATGTAACGATTTGGTTTTTAACAAGCCGTCGGACATTTCAAGATTCATGCTGCCATTGGAGGACCTGTCGGGTTCATCCGCAGTTCGCCAGTTGAGTTGTGACAACTGCCTGCTCTGCTGGTTAAGCCACCTTCCTCGCATGCCAAGTGACGATCCGCTGGGATGATCTATTAAAGCATCCTAACAAGCAAAACGACAATGGCGTGTGTCTGATTGCGCTACATGAAGCTTGCGTCATGTGCACTTTTAGATATGCCACAATCTGCAAAACCCTGGCTCGCTTGTTTTTTTCCTCACACTTGTTCTGAAGATTCTGTTTTGTTATCTTTGTGGGCGTAGATCTGCAAGCCTCAGCAACCACACTTCGATATTCCGTTCACGCTGGTGATTACACACTTTGTATGAATGATATAGGACCGTGAATTGCTTAAATCATATGCGTTCCCAACTTGTCTCTGTAGGTTCTTGCATATTCGTAAGGCGACTGCATTGTGTCTACCTATTTTGAGTTCCCTAAGCTTTGAGTTGGTTTCTGGGGTATAGACTATTTTGATTAACTAATGGAAGATGTTTACTTGAGAACCGAAATTTGGGAGTGAAAATATGTTAAATACTTCAGTTATCTGAGTAGCTTTGGTGTCAGCAATGGTATGTGATGGCGTTTCTTAATTCGCCCATTACGACCTATTATTAGGCGGTTGAGCATCCAGCCACATCCGAGGTATTTATTTTCTATTGCAAAGCTAACGGTCTATTAAGGCCCTTCATACTATTTAGACACGGAAGCGTTTGAAACGCCGTACCGGAGGAATATTACAAATGCACCGATACTGCGCCCACTCGATTCGAAGGATTCAGGCATCGTTACATCTTTGGGCACCATTATCTGTGTGGCATCGTTCGCGTCCGTTAATATTATCATGCTCACAACACCGAACGTGCAGGCAACCTCTAGATGATAACGTTGAGGTTGGTTTTTAGACCTACTTACGTGCGCTTAAGTTACACTCGCTTACTGAGAGGCCCATTTTCATTTAATATATCGACGTTGGTACAAGCTTCGAAAAATTCAATGTTTAGCCTGGTATTGGGGAATAAAGCCCTGACCACTGAACTGGGTCTTGTTGCACCACGCATTCCTCTGCACGCGGGTCGGGGCTTCATACGTCGTGGCCTGCGACAGGCAACATTGGTGTGTGTATTGTCCTCTTATAGTCAGACTACTCTCCGTAATTTTGAATGGTGTTATGTTATTTGCGGGGCAAGGTTGGTCGTGACATTGTACAATTAAAGCCATAACTGCGTTGTTTAGCCAATTCTACCTTAGCTTCGTACAAATACCTGCTTTTTTCAGCAGTTGTGCTAATAAGGTTTAATCACCTTGTGATAGAACATCTACGTTAGATATCTAAGTACAACATTGCGTCTCTGTTACTGTGGTTGCGTGTCATGAACGGGTGAGTCCTATGTGAGGATGTTCACGATGACACACAGGAGAGTAAGCTCATAGGTGCGGATCCGGCGGCTGCGCGCTATTGACTGGTCCCAATAGGACAAGACTGTCGTCTAGCATTTTCCTAGATGTGTGGTAGCTGTCTGGCTGAGTTTCGCTGCGTCGAATCATCTCAGAAACGATGACGCACTTTCGGAGTTTCCACAAAATAATGAAACAATGTCTGATGTCGATTTTCAGGGTTTGGAGCACACGCCATGTGTCTTGGATTGTGACACAATCTCAGTTGTGACCTCGGTTTACTTTGAAGTCAGCCTCTGCAATAGCATTACTGAGACCGTCACCGAGGTTGAGGGTTTCTGTGTGGCCCTCCCCATCACTGTCTGATGTCAAATTTCAGAATCCACGTAAAGCACAACTGGATAGAGATTTTTCATATGATCGAGAGGGCCATTGCTGTCGCAGACAGCTGTGGACCAAGGAAGTTCTCATCAAATAGAACAGCATCATTTCAATTATCCCGCTGTATTCCAATCGTCTGATGTATCTGGTGACACGGATGTGCATTGATGTGGTGGAATGGGACGATTTGCTATCACTGATCGCTGTTCTTTGCTACCTAGTTTGCACATTAAATAGCGGAGTTAAAGTGGGTTCACGCCCGGTGGTTATCAACCATTTTTAACTTGTTGATTGATCGCTACTTGCACCCGAAAATCATCGAGATATTGCCTCAGTACCAATTTTTTCATACCTGCTAAGGGGCATATTTTACGTATATCCATGATCGCTGTCTCGCTTCCTATCAAAACTATTGGTAATCGCATTAAGGGATCTGTAGGTCTACGTGCCCCCCAGTTCGTCAGAAACCTACATGACTCATGCACACCGTTGTATCCACCTCGATTGCGACAGTGCAAAGTACAACGTGTCAGCATGCGCTCGGGTGCAAAGACTATCTTCTATTTTCAACTTCTATCAGCAGCTTTCACTCTGCTCAGATCAGTTTACTGTTCATCCTTGATGTACTCACACACTAGATCCATTCAACAGCCTGTGACCTCTTATTCCACATAACCCGACTCAAACCCGGTGCGGTGCACGTGACACACCACGTCAGTTAGCCACATCCGGACTTTCGGATGCCACTTGCTAGAACGAGCGATGGAAGTTTCTATAACATTCCGTTCAAGCTGGTGTTGCTGACCAGCATGCAATCCTAAATGAAGCCATCATTTATGCGACTGGCGTAACGACACACTAATACCTCCCACATGGTAGCACTGTGTCAGCTGCCACCTTTGTGGCCGGCATTTGTGTTTACTTACCCAAGGAATGTGAGTCAAGGATAATTGTAATGCCACCACTTTCGCTGTGATGGATACACTTATACCTATTCCAACACCGTTTGAATGTATGTTCGTAACGGCCTGTCCGACCCGATGAAGATGCATTGTGGTGTCCCTCAAGAATCGGTACTAGGAGCATGCCTATTCGTACTGTCCATAAACGGCATCGCAGGAATGCTCACCTCAAACTTTCTACTCTTCATAGAAGCTCTTAAAATTCGGTGTGCAATCAAGAGAATAGACGATCATACAAAAGTAGAAAGTGGTCTCAACTGTGCTTACGGGTGGTCAGCTCAGAACCTGCCTGATTTCAACTTTGTCAGAAGTTAACTAGTGAGCATACGCCACAAGAGCACCTACGAATATCGACTACGAAAACACATTTTGCAACGCACCGCCCATGAAATTGGTCTTAGACTGCTCGTGAAGGACGATTTCGGATACTCAAAACAGGTGGAGAAGGCAGTGAAAATAGCTAGTCAGCAATGGGGCCTAGTGCTTAGTGGATTGTTCCACTTCCCTTATTAGTTTAGGCTTAAGATATTGCAAGTTTCCAGTGAACATCGTCTTCTCCGTAGTGACTGTATATTGTGTATCTGGTCCTCAAGGATTCAAAGCACCCATGTCAAATCGTATTGAAACTCACTGAGGGGTCAAGATTTGAATTTGGCCACACAGTATAGCCGGTTGGAATGCCACCGGAAACATTTCTCCATCCGTATACCCTAGCCGTGTAGCGCTGTTCCGCATTCTGTCACTTCTGCTCCTACCTTCAGTGAATTTGTATGTAGACTTAGACTTACTCCACTTGCAAACCGGTACCTCGGCCTTCTTCCCAGAGCTTTCGGGAAGTTTGACAATTCAGTCTTTCCAACAATGCTTAGTGCGGAGGTGAGGCCGCACGCGGAATGCGCTATTCAAGCGTTGCAACCCTGGCTCAAGCACTATCTCACCGCGCTCGATACTGCACAAAGTAGGGCAACGAAGAGGTTTGACCAGTCTCCCCTATCCACTCAGGCTGAAGACTCTCAAAATATACAGTAGATGTTATCGGCGTCTAAGGGGCAATTTCATAATGATGTACCAGATCATGCGAAGCCCTAACCACCCATGCCATTCCCTTCTGATACTGAGTCAAAACACCCCGCTAAGAGATCATCGGTTTAAGCTGGTCACGCAGTAGAACCGACTAGAATGTCGGCGAAACTATTTCTCCCTTCGAGTGTCACAGCCTTGGAACGCCATCCAAGAACATGTAATTAATGCAGCCACCCTATCCCTTTTCAAAAACGCCTTGACGATACTCTGTCACATTTGCACTACGTGCTATAGCCCATGACCACCAGATGCTGGCACTAATGCACAACAGACAGTGGATAGTGCCATAACCCTACTCGAGAATGAGTCACTCCAAACCCCTTACACGTAATTTGATAAACGCTACTACTATAGAAACTGGATTTCTGTATCCTCTCGACCCAAGATAGTTGCACACGAGGAAGCGTTGTCCTTTTCTTAATTCTTTTTCTCGTCCATTGCGTGATCAATAACCACTCCCTTTTTTGTTTTGTGTGCGTACATTCTAATTTCAAACTCCCTTTATACGGCAGTGCAGTTAAATCTGGAATCGCCCGAACTGACGATTCCGTTATCCCTTGAGCTATCTTTTCCCACTCTAAACACCCTACGGGACATGTCAATCACCTGTATTTTTACCCGTTATAAATCATTGTTCATTGTTCATGATTTAACCCAAGGTGCGTGGATATTCATATACGTAAAACTGCGACGAGTCTACCGTCACGCGTTACTTTTTCTTGTTGCATTCCCTTTATGTGCTCAATCTGTACCTACCTAAATTGTTGAGCGTTTCTATTTCTGGTATCCATGCTAAATCCATTGTTCTACACTATTCCAGCACTGTTCGGACACTAGGTCCCAAATGTTCAACATGTGAGCTTAAAACTGCGATCGAAGATAACTTTGAATGCGCTAACCAGTTGGTGCCGTTGCACTTTTATCTCTCCACTTCTTTATCCTACTGTATCCATCAGCAACGACAAAGCGTGAATACTAGGTGCACACATACTTATCATCATCATCATCATCATCATACACGTTAGCTAGAGGTGGGGAACACCTCAGCTACTGTGCCGCATACTTACCTCATGGTTAGCGAATACGTCGTGTGTCCGAACAGCACACGTCGCTTCCATCGTTGTGGTGTCCTGAATCCGAGGGTAAACCGGTGGCCAGTCTGTCATCAGCTTGTTCGAAGTGTTCGGTAAGACAGCATTCGGGTAGGTTGCGCTTTGCTGATGGCCTGATGTTGTCTTTTCCTTGGTTTCTTCCGCAAAGCTTGCCATTCGGGGTGCGACGCTTCTCCGAAATGTCGTTAAAACTGGTCTAATATTGGAACATCGTCTTGGGGGCAGCACGCTTGGCGTTGACCTGTCGGCTTCATGAGATGGCATACCTGAGGAGAATGTTAACTGACAATACGACTTCTCATTGGCCAGCTGGCTTCTATCAATTTGCTGGGTATCTTTCAGATATATGTAATTATTACTGAGAAATTTGTGTATACATGGAGGGAATGTTGTCATTTGACTGTTCACGTATAACGTCTTGATCCAGTCGGCTTGCATTTGAGCGTACTCAGTAGAGTCGGTCGTCGAATTCGGTTCGGTGACTTCCTCATCGCTACGAGTGTGTTGACTGTTGCTTGAGAGGGTATTTGATAGGAATTCTAGGGCTTCAGATGAGGTGAATTGGCTGCTTTGTTGATGACGTTGTCGCATGCCGGCCTGTTGAAAAAGAGACAGGTTTTTAAACAATGGGTGTATGTCACTCACTCTAACTACACGATGACATGCACACACTCATTGAAAAATTGCTTGTTATTGATCATCTTTCCCTTAATAGATTGACAAGACATTCAACTTACCGTGATACATATGTATCTTTCCGGTTTCCTTTTGATTATCTGCAAAATTGTGAGCAGTTCATCGAACGTTGGTCGCTTGTTTGGGTCAGCTTCCCAACCTTGAAAGGACAAAATGAGGGGCTGCGAGTGTCCGTCTGTGACATTCTTCAATATTGATTAGAACTCCGTTAAATTTCTTTTTGGACTAAACTCAGCTTGCTCCCGCTGCACGTAGGATAACTACCGAGTGTTTCAAACACTAATCCAGTCAATTAAGTCATCGTGGTTAACGACTATCTTCTTTTCTTAAAGTGAGTCTAATGTTTTGCAATGGACATTTTCATTGAGAATGTACCACTACGTCGTGAGGAGCTGAGCCAGCTGTATCAGCCCACGCGTTGCGCTAGTGTGGACAATGAAAAATGTCTGCAATTTTTTTGACTGACGAACGAAAGATTCGCGAAATGGAATCAGATCCAAAAATGACAAAATTTACGACTTACATATGGCTAGTCTTGCTCCCACAGGTTCGTCATCGATTTCGCTGAGGCGTCATAATCTCATGTTCTTTCACGTACCAGAGTCAAAAGAGGAAAACTCCCACACACGTTATGAGCACCATGTTGAGTTCCTCCAAGGTCTCCTCGATAGACTCTTGGATATCAGTGAAGACAGTGTGACGAGTAAACAAGTAATCCGACTTGGCCAGAAAACTAACCAGTCATGTTGACCTCTGGGAATTAGCTTCACAAATCACAACATGCCGCAGCTCTTACTGTCTCGGTTGTCAAGGTTGAAGGGCATAGAGGGTCACATCCGCTGAGACTTGGAACCCGAAGACCGGGATCGTTTGAAGTCTGCGGTCATTGACCTCAAACGTCGTACAGAATAAGGTGCAGCTGACTTACAAATTTTAAAGTTTCACAAAATCAAGTAGAGTGTACAAACCCGTATCCACCGGTTGCTCAACCTCCAGGCACGTCCCGCAGTTCTTCCCAGGAATTCCGTGTGGAATTCGCCACCGTGTGTAGCCTAATGAACAAACGTGACAAACTGTGCCGCTTCGCTGTCTAGGAGCTGCCGAACGTTTTAGGACTTGCAGAGAATTGGTTGAACGCAGACGTCATACTCCAAGAGGTGGCGTTGTCAGGATACTCTTGTCTCCGATGCGACCGAATATCAAAGGCTCATGGGGTGTTCTGTTGTGTATATAAAATCGTCACCATCTGGCAAACTTACCAGCACCTATCGGAGCCAGGATAATTTATGCGGGCAAGTGTGGTGCACAACCCGCATCAAACTCACAGAACTAATAGTGGGTGTTATCTATTGTAGCCCATTAAACCGTTATTGCGATTGCCTACCACAAATACAGAAGCACATGACGCACCCTCATTTCTCACTGATGGGGGGAACTAAATTTACATAAGATACTCTGGCCAGACGTTCGGCTTCTTCCCAGTCCTGGCGACGTTGTGGCTCAATTCACTGAAATGACTATTGAAATCGAGGCACCGCAACATGTCATCCAACCAACGCGCATAACTGCACTCGGCATCTTGTCTGGACTTAATGTCCACGAGATGCGAGCAGAAGCTGAAAGAGATCATAGTGCTCGAACCTCTGGCGAACAGTGACCACTGCTCCATTATGTTATGCATAGAACTACCCTTACCGTATGACAACCAACGAAGCCGACATTCAATTATTGGAAGATGGACTTCAACCGGCTCGTCCAAGCCACAAATCAGGCTGATTAGACACTTACCACAGGATGCGTCGCTTGAGGCCTGTTGGTCATTAATGAAGGGGAAGCTTAACGCCTGTGTACTAGGTTCGTTACCCAGAAGTATTCAAAAATTGGACCAATCAAACCGCATTGGTTTGATACGGAATATAGACAGAGCGATGGCGTCGCAAACTTTGGGATAGGTACATCAGCTCGGGTTGTGATGAAGATTACACGGTGGACAAGAAACAGCGTAACTTATGTAGCGCCGCAAAGATCAAGAAACGCCGGTAGTTTGAAGAGGAGCTAGCATCCTCGGCCACAACTGCACCCAAAAGAATATTTGCCTACTTGAAACGTCAACTGAAACCTGGGGCGACCTGCCGGTCTTAGAGAGATTGGACGGACAGACGCTCATTTCAAACGCGGAGGGCGCGGACGCCTTGGTTACGAACTTCCTCACCCTATTTTCCAGTAAACCGGTGGCTGTTTCAATACCGGCACAGGTTGCGCTAGTCTTGCTCGGCAGCCTACAATGTGACGCAGTCGAAGGGTTTCAGCTACTCGTCAACCTCGATGGTGCAGAGCCCCCCTGACCAGACTGAATTCCCCACTAATACTCAAGCCGTGGCAAACCTATTTAATAAATCACTCTCTGAAGCATTTGTCCCCAACAAATGGAAATGCTCGATAGTGAAACCGCTTCTAAAGGTTGGTGATTCAAGTAAACTGGAGAATTATAGACCGATCTGTTTGACTTCGATCTTATCCAAAGTTTTCGAGGAAGTTGTGCAAAAGTGTCTGTTGTCGTTCTTCGAATTGATGGACGTATTAACGGCAACACAACACGGCTTCACGAAAGGACGATCTTGCATCACTAACTTAATGTACGCAAATTACCCGTGGCTACGAGCTCTCAACGAACGGAAGATGTTGACCTGGTGTACATCGATTTCAGTAAGGCGCTTGACAGAGTAAATCACGAGGTACTACTTCATAAACTGAGGACCTACGAAATCGATGGCACGCTACTTCAGAGGTTACACAATTTTTTCGACGAAAGTTTGAGTGCTGTTCAATGACTGCCTGACAGACTGGTTCCCATCGGTCATTGGCGTGTCTCATGGAATTGTAGTTGAACCAGTATTATTTCTTTTTCATGTCAACAATCTCCCGCAGCAGCTCCAGTCATCATGTGCCCTGTTTGCAGTTGCTTTTAACATCTGGAGGATAACTGAGAGCCAGGACGACTGCGCTCGCCTCCAGCATGACTTAGAGTGACTGTCAACGTGGTCCGCTGAAATGCAACTCCGTCTTAATGCAAGCAAGTCGGAGTTCCTCAGTATCATCAGACGTGAAGCCACTCCAGCATGCACCTTGGACGGCCAGTTGCTCCACCCTAACCCATCTGTCAGAGACTTACAAGTGCTCTCGCGACGTGATATGAGATTACTAGATAATACAGAAATTGTACCGTGCGGGACTTCGTATGCTCTGGGCATTACGACGCAGTTTTCCCATACGCGGTCCGAAGATATCGTCCCTCGCCTACTCACCTCGCTCATTAGACCAATTCTTGAATACGGTGCCCCAGCTTACCATCCGATAACCCAATGGGAAACTGAAAAGCTGGAAAAAATACAGCACATTACAACTGGAATTATTCCCTGTCTACAAAAGCTTTCGTGAGAAAAAGATTGTGAAATATTCGGACTCTACACACTATCCTACCGCCGAGCAAGAATTGACCATATTATGACCCATAGAATACTACACTTGAATCACTTCCCCATACTGCGGCCAATGTTTAACCCGCGGGAAACCTGTAACACCCGAGGACACCGTTACAAACTTAGGATCCCCTGCATGAACAAGGTATCACGGCAGCTTTGTATAGAAAGAAGATCATTTGGCTTATGGAATACACTACCTTAAAGACTACTAGAGGCGGATTCTGTGAAGTATTTTAAAACACGATTGTTTCGGAAACTTGTGCTTTTGTGAACCTGTTCACATACAATGCAAAAAATACATCCTATACCCGGAAATAATGACCTCATGACTGCATTAGCAACCAACTGAATTTGAAGATTACAGACGACAACCTACCACATTTCATCATCGAATGATGCCCCCATTATTGATTACTAAGGTGCCTTTTCTATAAATCCATGCATTTCGGATCGTGCATAGCTTCGTGAAGATTGCGCACAATTCGCCTGAGCTAACCTCAGCAATACTGTTGCTACAGTGCCAAGGTAGCCGCTGAAGTTTTCTCACTAGAACCCTCGCTATCTGTCAACGCGAAGTACAATTAAGCTCACACAAGTGACGTTGCTGTATATACTGTCCCACCCATACCACATTGGCTTTAACTGAGATTTCCCAGGATCTTATCACCAAGAGGAAACTCATATGCAATGCCTACCTTTAGCCTTTATACCGTGTTGTGGTTTACTGTTATGTTATAGACACAAAAGTGTAGAAGGCATGATTTGCCTATGCCTGAGTTAGTAAACGAACTCTTGCTTTTGACCAAACTTTTATATGCACTTACATCCACTGTTATGCCAAACTCGGACATTTTGTACATTCTTGATCATAATAGGTTTGCTTTACATGATCATGCCTGTAAAGGTGTGACTTGCATTGTCGAGAATAAAAGTTTATTTAGTTATTTAGGGGTCTCGGTGCAATCGTAATTGGTTGCCCCTATTGCATTCAGCCTCAGCTAACAAGTAAAACCTCCGTTGGCTACAACTGCTGGGCCGCAACGATCCAAATTCAATTGGTTAATCACCGCGTCGGCTAAACTATTGGTGGAGAGTATTGCGCTCGTTCCTACCAGTAGTTGCAATAATTAGGACGTGTTATAGTATCCTGTGTAGAGGCAATGCATCTGTAGATGGATACCACCATTCACAACTAGTATGTTGGACATAATCTCATTTTCACTGAACATACATACTTAGATGAAACAAACTAACATCGTAGCAACACCGCATAGAATTCCAAGCTTGTCGTTTCCGGTTGCATCAAACGCATTCCCCGCTCCAGACACTGCAACAAGTCCCTGGCCCGAATTCCATCGAACGGGCGCTTTCCAAATGTGCACATCTCCCACAGCGTTACTCCTGAGTGAAAACAAAAGATTGAGTGCAACGAATGAAGTGGTCAACATGTAAGAACACAATAGTCCAAGTGGAAATGCCTGAGGAGCAGTTCTTTGACAAAACACTAGCAGGGAGATTTGAACGGCATGCGTAATAGTTTGTCACACCTAAACTCAGATAGCAATCACACTCCCGGGAAACCACTGTATGGCTTTTTGATCCTTTCGGGAATCGTCAGCAGTGCAGGCTCCTTTTGACCCATGTGGGGTCCTGTGGCGGGGACTTTAAATCGGCTGTGCCGTTGTCGTTAAATATCGTTTTGACAATATCTCTATGGATACATTAGTTTCTCAGGATATTTCAACATGGATATGTGTCAAGCTGTTTTCAAGGTCACTGCTGCGGTCCTTCGCGTAATCTTTGAGAAAATTTTATGATACTGGGCACGTGAACATGGACAGTCCCGATTGAAATTCTAGCTTACAACTGTTTAATTATTATTCTTTCAAACTGATCGTTTATTTAAGTGACACTCCTACACAGTGTCCTCTTATCCATCCTTACAAATAATTTTTTTCATAGTGTAAGTTTAGCTCATCCGTTGTCGATGTTGTTAAGTGCTGAAAATATATGCATCTGGACACATAAAGCTTTATTTGACTGGACTCCACTTGAACAGACAAGTCGACTTGTCCGTCCATGATCAGGAGCACTGAGCAGCGGAGAACGATAGCGAACAATTCTTTTTTAGCACCTCTTAAGGTATTCGCCTCATGGACGTGGCGTTTATGTATATTTGTATACAGTACTTAGCTCTCGGCTGTTGTTTAGTAAGGTCTTTTTGTATTGGCGGTTTTAATTTTTGATTCTGATAACTTTGGTGAAAATAACTACTTTCCTAGCATCTGTTAGTCTGGAACTTCGCACAAGAGTTCCCCTAACCAATGGTAACAGCGTTTCCTCCGCAATATCGCAGGAGGTATTGCGTATGATTTCGCGTGTTAGAACATGAGAAATACCGGCGGTTTTTCTAGTCTCGACACCCAATTTATGAACGTTGGTGAACACCATTTCGCGATGGTTGCATTCGCAATGCTGTATTTGTTGAGCCGGAATGTTAGGCGTCATCCTGTTGCAGCTGGCTTTACGGAGTCGAACACCTAATGTTGGCCGCAACTGTTATCAACTCACTCGCCTCTATATGAAATAAGCGAAACTCCGTCCGTGTAGCTAGAATATTGTACATCCAGAGCGTTTACTAATAACGTTCCCATAAAACGTTTGTTACTCTCGCTTTGTGAATTCGATCACGAATAAGACACTGCATTGGTTAGGTCAAGAGAGGGATTCAAATTTCCCACCTTAGTCATTATTGCTTGTGCAAACATTTTCAGTTGTTTAGGAATTCATCAGTTGGTGTTTTCTACCTCTCCAAAGTTGATGAATTATTGTGCGCAACCTACCAGGCTTCTGGTTTTATGACTGAGAAAACATTATTTGTTGAACGGTTTAAAATATTTTTGCCTTAAGATTTCTTAGGGTACTGTTATTCGAAACTACACAAAGAAACCTGGTATTCTTACCGTAGGACCACACATCGGACTTGCTAGAGAAAACGCGGTTTTGTATGCATTCGATTGCCAACCATTTGATAGGCATTCGGCCGCCGCTTGCATGATATTCACTTCCGATGCAATCGAGACACTTTGCCAGTCCGAAATCGGTGATACGAATCTAAAGGGAACCAATGGAACGGTATTCATTTATCTACATCTTACTCTCAAGTGACACTCATACATGTGCTTCGGACAAACTAGTAGATTCACCGACTTTTGAAGGCGTTGACGTTTTCCCACTAAGAGGTGTCACGGGCTAAGTCACAGAAGTCGTTCAGTGTCGACCAGTTCAAAGCTGTGGAGACGGCCGTACTGTGTTGGAGGTTTAAAATAACTTGATGTACTGGTAGCCAGGGTTGATCGTTCCTGGGTTCAACTGTTCGCCGAGCTTCACAATTGGTATGCAAACGTTTCATCACCACGCGAGGTGACTTCCTCAGTGCTCTGCAGGGTCAAACTTAATCCGCTGACTTGGTCGTCGATTTGTGATTGGTTAGCAAGTGACTTTTGAATTGACCTTTTCAATCTGTGCCCTATGTCCATCCGTCTACCCAGCTTCTCTGGTAGATATGGGCGTTCCGTAGGATGGTTTTGTCCCTCCTGTTGCGGCTGTATTGTTAACGGTTCGGTTAGCTGCTCTGGACGGTTTTTAAGTTGTTTTAATTCTCTCCGTCTTAGCGTTTCTTAAACCGGGTCAACCTCGACGTGCATGTTTATCGAGTGCTTGTTCGAGTACCATGCCTCGAGGAACTCTCTTCCTTTTCGTGTCTCTCCTTATGCTAGGATCTCTGCGTTGTTCCAATCGAAGTGATGTCCTTCTTTGTCTGTATGTATTGAAACCAGTGAGAGTGCTTAATGGTTCTTACAAGCTCTCTTATGTCCTTGTATTCTTGTAGACAGTTGTCTTACTGTCTGACCCACATAGTTTTTATCGCAATCTTGACACCGTATCATGTACACAACATTTCGTCTTTCGTGTGCTTTAGGTCTATCTTTGGGTTTCAATAGTGTTCTCCTCAATGTGGCGGTTGGTTTGTGAGCCAATGTAAGACCGTGCTGTTTGAATAATCTTGCTGTCATCTCGGAGATGTTCTTTACATAAGGTAGAACGATTCGCTTTGTTGTCGTTTGAGCAGGCTGAGAGGTCGTAGCTTTGTTGTTTGGATATCGTCGGACAAAGCTGGTTTCAATACATACAGACAAAGAAGGACATCACTTCGATTGGAACAACGCAGAGATCCTAGCATAAGGAGAGACACGAAAAGGAAGAGAGTTCCTCGAGGCATGGTACTCGATGAAGCACTCGATAAACATGCACGTCGAGATTGACCCGGTTTAAGAAACGCTAAGACGGAGAGAATTAAAACAACTTAAAAACCGTCCAGAGCAGCTAACCGAACCGTTAACAATACAGCCGCAACAGGCGGGACAAAACCATCCTACGGAACGCCCATATCTACCAGAGAAGCTGGGTAGACGGATGGACACAGGGCACAGATTGAGAAGGTCAATTCAAAAGTCACTTGCTAACCAATCACAAATCGACGACCAAGTCAGCGGATTAAGTTTGACCCTGCAGTGCACTGAGGAAGTCACCTGGCGTGGTGATGAAACGTTTATATACCAATTTTGAAGCCGGGCGAACAGTTGAACCCAGTGGTTTAGGTGGTCTTGTCGTGATGTCCTTCGCTTTTAAGGGAATAGTAGCTAGAGTTTGGTAGCAGAAGTTCACCACTCCTACATTCAGTCAGACAGCCATCATGCGCCTGGAAAAAACACTGTGCAGCTGCTTCAACTTTTCCATAATCGTCAGCAGCGCGCATTTTATCTGCCCACATGGGGCTCCAACCCGAAATGCTACTGTTACCGGTTCGTAGTGAAGACCAATATGCTGTAGTGGACGGTAACAACTTACGTGACAAAGTTATGTGATGTGAAATAACACCGCTCACTATCACTGGCTTGCAGGTGATTAGCGTTAAGAGGACAAGATAACCCCCTCACCAAGTGACAAACTAACCGAAGTTAAGCCGCTGATTAAGGTACAACATTATAAGCATTTTGATCTGCCTACTGAGTAGAAGAAGGGGAGTTGTGTGGTATACCCAGTAGGCATCTAGTGCTCTTCATCACGGACTGATAACAGTCGGGTTTTGGATTCGAGCCTCACAGGGGCCAGATAAAATGCACATTGCTGACTATTCTCGAAAGTATGTAACAGATGTGCAGTGCTTTTAGGGGCGGATGCTCCCTCTTACTGAGTCATGATGTGATGTGATTCACTACCTCTACTTCGCTCAGTTATGGTACAACTTACTAACCTTCGGCTTCGTTAACATTCCTTAGGGCTACATCAGTCGATATCGATACTCTTTCAAAAGTACATTAGATTTCAGCAATGAAAAGAACTTACCCGCCTAATGAAGTTAAATTTTGCTCTTTTGATGGATTAGGTTGGTCATTCGTGCATTACAAGTCGAGTTACTTCCTTCACAGGACATTTCTTCTGGCTTCGCATTTGCCATACGCGCTGGTATTTTCCGCTTGCAATCTGACGACAGCTGCACCCATCTCGCTCGTGCGAAACGAATCTCTCAATCAACCACGCCAATCCCACCTGAGTTTTAAACAGTTGGCTTCATATCTCCACTGTGAGGAGCACAAATTTGAAGTATCGAAAACGAGGCTTCTTTTGCCAAACACATCAACTAACTATGCTCACGTTATCCAGAAACTAAATATTTACCCTCTATCCCAAGCGTTTTGTAAGATTTTTACCATATTATCCATGTTCCCCATCTACTCCCGGGATATCTACTCTTCGCAACCATTGATCAGCTTGCGTACTTCGAAACAGATATACGTTCCGAGTGGTACACCCCTTGACACCTTTTTGCTCTGCGGACCAAACAACTTTTTTGGTCGTTAGTAGACAACCACGGCTCTGGACAGTTAAGCAAAAACCGCTGTTTGTGTAGCCCCCAAACAACAAAACGTGCTTAGTTTTGCTCATCTATATCGCACAAGTAGTTGCCATGAATCTTTATCATTGTGGCCTGCAGTCATCGCTAAGCTTCGTTTGTCCCTGCTCCGTGGATTAAATTCTATTAACCAGATGCTACTCGATTTCTGTTGAACATGAATTGGTTGTATACTGTAAATAGCACAATAGGCCACTCGTTTGCAAACCAGCAAATCCAACGCGATCGTAGGCGGCTTGTTGCACCATTGATCGGTGATGTCAAATAGGCAGTACCCCCACGGACATTCCGTCTGTTTGTTATCTCTGAAATTTCAGCATCCATTCTAAACGTGGTCCGCCAATGTCACCTGTCCTACTTTTATTGTTGAGACTATAATACAATATGAAGCTGATGACCATTTAAAGGGTCTGAAAGCATCAAACGCTACTGATAATCGAGCTTTCGAAGCTATCAGATATGGAGTCGCAACTATCATACAAGCGCATGCAATCTCTGTTTTATCTATTATTACCTGCAATATTATCGTAATTATTTGTGCTACTTAAATCGTGACTATTTACAACATCAGGTTAGACACTAAGACAAGTGATAATATTGTAGATATTCATGTCAGAAAGATAGACCTATCGCATGTGTTTGTATTATGGTTATGAGTCCGTGTCGGATTTGTGCGACAACGGTTTCGGCGAGCCCTGAGCACGTGGATGAGGTCGTGAGGATCAGTTGTCTGGTCGTCCAGTTGTGTGTGATGCACCCTGATGCGACATAAGTATACGCTTTAAATGGGCCAAAACACACTGCAGCACGACAGAATTGAGGAAGAAGGAAGAGAACTATCTATACCGGGTATTGCATAACAACGAGTATCCATGAAACGTCCTCAGAAGAAGCCTAAACAAGAGGTTGCATCAACAACATCAGGAAAACATAGATAAACGGGTAGCGCTTCCTTACATCAAGAATATATCTGAACTAACGTCAAGATTGCTACGACCACATAGAATCTTGGTAGCCCACAAACCAACAGGTACTTTGCGGAGATTGCTTTCAAGACCGAAGAACAAAGTTAAACAAGGCAGTCAGAATGATGTCATCTATAAAATTAACTGCAGAGTGTGACAAACACTACATCGGGCAAACTGGGAGGAAACTATCAACACGGATCAACGAACACAGAATGGCCATACGGAGACACGACCCGCATTCTTTAGTTTCCATGCATGAAGACCAAGAAGGCCACCACTTCGACCTAGAGAACGTTAAGATCCTAGCCCGTGGAAATTCGAGGCAAGCTAGAGAATTCTTGGAAGCATGGTATTCTACCGACAGTTCAATAAACCGACACGTTGAAATAGATGCTATATATACAGCACTACGGATGAAAGATCCCCGAATTAGTAGTATAAATCTAACGGAATAGAGCGCTAGACTACTGCATCAAACGACGACAAGCGAAGAGTCACACGCGCGCACACTACAAGGTGAGAATCAGAGATCGATTTCTATGGTCATGTGCTCGTCGAACAATCCAAACTCAGACTAGCGGCCAGGAGATCGATCACTCACAATCACTGACGATTCGTACGCGCCATTTTGCTAAACACATGCGCACTGACGATGTCACCTCGAGTGGTGACGAAACGTTTGCAGTCAACCTGCCGAGCTCAGCGAACAATCAGACAACCAACTGAACAACCTGAGCTACCAACATTTGCTTCTATATCGCAATAAAGTACTTCCTTGGTCTCCCACGGTTATCACGTGCTTTCATGCGCCGGCTTGGTAATGGATAAGTTAAATGCCATTTTGACCTCTGCATGTGGGCCACTGATGCAGATCACGTGGTGTGCCGAGCGGGCGCGGAGTGTGTTGAATGTAGGTCGGATGAATGGTATAATTCAAAAAAATAGTTTTGGCAAGTTGTAAACACGGATCTAACATCGAAACTGGTAAGACATGCGGTAGCTTTGATATCGTGATAATGCTCGGAAAACCAGTTGATGGCGTCGGGTGGATATTACTCAGGTAAGTATCAGTGCAATTAACTAACCTGTCCCAGTGATTCGACAAGCACATTCCTGGCGGCCAAATCCCGATGAATAATCCCCCTGGAAGCCAAATATGTCATCCCACTAGCGATTTGCTCTGCCCAAGCCACAAAAGTGTGAACTTGTATGATTTGAACGTTACTCTTGACGAAGTCCAACAGGCTACCCAGTGGCATAAATTGTGTAATCAGTTGCATCCGTGCAGTCAGACACAACGCAAGAAATCGCAAGCAACATGGGTGATCCACGGTTGCCATAACCTTGAAGTGATAGTGGAAAAAATATAGGGAACTCGTTGACATCATTGTATCTAGCCATGTCAACTCATGTAAAAAGATTGCATCGAAAATACTGATTTAACGACCCCCCGGCGCAAAGTATTGTCTGAATGCGTATCAACTCCACCATACAGAGCTACAAAATTATATACGTCCGCACAAGGGTTTATGGTACATCAGTAGTTTCTTGTATGTCAGGTTTTTTGAACGACAGAAATTTAGTCATTCAAGACCTGGTCAGTATATTACTGAATTGATATTCGTTCTGGCAAGTTATTTCAACTATTGGGGTTTTATATCTATCCTCATATAGTATCCTTTTTCAATAGTTATCCTTGGCCACAGTGTGTGACTACCCACCCTTCATCAGTGCATGAAGCACATTTTTGAGTTGAACAAGGAACAATGAATTTACACGGGTTAAGAAGAAATGCTTCACATGTCCCGTTGGGTGGTTTGCAGGGGTATCGAAAAATAACAATGCACTGGGTTATTTACGTTTAAAAGAGAGACTTATCCTTCGGTTCCCTGTAGTTCTGCGATCTGTGTCGCTTCACAGCACAAACATGCAATAGCAAATAAATCCCAATTATATTCCAGCAGTGGGATTGAGATGTAGTAATAGGTAACAAAATGTAGATGAGGATGTGAGTCATGCAAACGTTTTTTTAAAATATGACTTGTGTTGGTGTAGAAAAGACCGAATCTGCAAGAGCATTTTACAAGTGACATGGAGACGGAAAATAAATTCCTAGAACAATCCTGGTGGCTGTACTCTTTTTCCAGTTTTAATGAGTGATCTCTCAAGTTGGTATTATTACTGAGTTGCGGTAAAGAGTGACACACATGGTGTGGATCATGCAGAATTAACTAAACCGTTATCAATTCACCACGTAAGCAGCGGTAACGTCTGCTGAATACCCTCAATCGTTCCAGCCTCTCCTCGTATAGAAGATGGTGCATTCCAATAAGGTAATTTGATGCTCGATGTTAGGGCTGCTCCGATGCACAAGGTCATGTTTTAGCTATGGGTACCAGGCTTGAATTGCCTATTCGACATGAGGACGAATGTACGCACTAAGCTTCTATTAGAAAATAGTACAATCTATTTGTCCGAACGCCCGTCATAGCAGGCCCACATGTTGGTTACCATTTTTGGAAGCTCTCGCGGATTGCCTGGAACAACGCAGGTCATCCCGAAACAGTACGCCCAAATCACATCGCTGCAACACATGCGATCCCAGCCTGTTACAGTGGTTGCTCTGAGGTCGTATGGAGGGCACCTTGCATTTATTCACATTGCATTTCAGTGAATTTTGGATGGAACATTGAGGTACCGTGTCTAGATCACTCTGAAGCAGTTGCTGGTCAGTATTCCTCTGAACGTTGCGCATTGATGTCATCGGCAAACAGCAGGAAGTTAGAGGTAATTGACCGTGTGAGGTCGTTGAGAACTACCAAAAACAATCTGGGACGTAGCTTCGTTTGTCTTTAAAACTAGGCGTTCAACCCGAGGCACTTTCCACTTGAACTCGTCTCATCTCTGTCATATTTTCTTTTTCACCGCGCTTAATATCCGCCATCATGACGAGTCGAAATGAGCCATATTCGTCCACCGTGACTGACAAAAAACCACTGCACAGAGCCGTCCATTGGATTTTAATACTACCTGACGCATCGTCACAGCAATAACTGCAAGCAAACTGTATGTCTGGCGGCGGGATTCATCACAGTGCGTCTTGTCATTTTAAACCATGTTCTTTGTACTAGGTCTTTGCCCCTGACGAAATCCAGCCACTCGGAAATTTCTACCTTTATGAATGCGCAATATCATGTTATTAGGCAGTTATTTCTACGGTCTGAAGGTTTCTTACCACACGTATAAATTACCTACGTTAAGCTATGTTTGTCTCAACTCGCAGCACATTACGTAACCGTTACTCATCCCACACACGTACCTTTGCCTCTTCGAGCAGTTCTTTATTCGTTTGGGGATCACCGGCATCGGATAGAACTTTAATTGCCACGGGGATTTCCACCTGCGTTGACTCTGCTCCCGATTCTTTCGACACTTCTTTAGTTGCAAACAAACCCTTGGCATTGTCCAATTTGGTGTATGACAAGAATGAGGTGTTCATAGCTGTCTCCGTGCCATCCGACCACGTTACCGGCAGGGTCATCCGTTTGGTTCCAACCTGGTCTACCGATGTGTGGGACAGTGTTTCACTGGAGAGTCCATTTTGGGGACGCCAAATCCCACAGAACACAGTTCCAAATGCACCGGAACCAATCAAAGGGCCACGCACAAGCTGTGACTCCGTTATGATTCGTAAAGTGGCCATATTCGGTTTGCCTGGCTGTTCTCCAATCTGTAGTGGCAACGCAAATAGATGGTATGTGAGTTAACCTCGTGGTATTTGGAATAGTCACAAAACTGCCTTTGCCATTTATAAAGGTAGACATTATTATTTTTTGCGCGATGAATAATAGGAGACTGGTCACAAATGTTTCTTTCTTATCCTAACCTCCCTCCCATGGTGAAGTTCATACCAGTGGGTTAGAAAAATCCTCACTTTCGGTTAGCAAACGTTTAGACACTTTGCTACAAACATCATGGTTTATGTTCTATGAAGCTAGATACCTCAGTTCGCGCACTACCCCCATCGGATCACACGACGTTCCATATGTGAGCGCTGGTGTCATTGATGCACAGGGGATGGCGCGTGTGTGAGCAATATTGAATTTCGCTTATGGAATAGCTAACGAACCGGTTAGTTTTGTGTCATTAGTGAGACGCCACAGAAACTAGTGGGTGTACAAAACGTGTCGTTTATATTTGATAGGCAACATCTCTTTTCCGAATGTGGCACAACTTGTTATCAGGAATCACTGCAGTGAAGCCAAGAGACAAATACCAATGACAATTGACATATACCATCATTGAAGTGGCCTAATTGGAAGTAGAGGGTCTTTCCTTCGACCTGCTGAAGAAGAAGAACATGGTTTCATACAGCAGCTGTAGCTGTGCTTGCAACACATGCCGTGGTCCCTTTATCGATGAAGGCGATCTCCTTGTAACTTGGATCAATTAGATGAATTTTCGTGCTTCTTGCAGTGTTCTCTGCATTAGATCTACTAAGTCAGTCTACCCTGAGTTAAGATTGCTGATCAAAAATAGCTTTTTAGAGCTCCGGCCTTTGTGTCAACTTACTCTTCCATCAGTTGTCTACTTCGGATAGGGACACTTTATTCCCGATTGGGATTGGTTGCTGCAATCCATTCACAAACAGCGGATGATCATTCATGAGTAGAGAGATTTGGGAAGATTTAGTTGGTTCATCACAATTAGCTTACAATCCAAACAGGTTTACTACAAACGCGTAATAGCACCAGACGGCCGTTTCGTCTTCTTGGATCTCGGTCCTTTTCAGTGCACCGAACCTATGACCGCTAGTGGCTTGTACCACTAACCAGCTGCTTACGCCACTTAGCCATGAGGTACAATTGCCGGTCATCATGGACTGAAATCTAACTGCGATATGGCTCGACCCATGACTCAGCCAAGGGGATGCCGATTCCTAAGAGCGCGAAACGGCCATCTGGTGCCTTTCTAGATTTGTGATCTGGCCTGTACTCAAGTTGCAATGAAGTAACTAGAAGGCAGCGAACGATGCAAACAAAAATGGCAACGTTAGCGTCGCCATTTTTATGCACTGGATATATGACTGCATGTTGACGAGTTTTCTCAAGCTGATCAGTGATTCTCTTTAGAGTGCAACTTCGGCACCATCACTCTTCCTAAAATTTTCCAAAGCGACTTTCTAGCGTCAGATTACCTACCTGTCCGCTCCTATAGTTAGCTCCCATATTTTATGGAATTTTGAGCTTAGTGGTTCCACAGCATGACATAAATCGGATTCTTTTTTGTGTCCAACGATTTGGTTAGGCTTTTCTCCCTGCCACAAGCAATTTCACATGCTGTCTCATTTTATTTACCCCGAGGATACAATGCCCCATCTTCAGTCTGCGGCTGGAAAGTCAAAACCAGCACTATACACTCTCGCGAGTTAGAACGTTCACTTGGATATACATAGCCGACTAACCTGCCACATTCGGAATGTCACCAATTCCTGTCTGTAACAGGACACGAGTTTGCTCTTCGGCCTCATCCATAAAATTTTGACGGTTTAGCCGACTGATCAGATGACGAGTACGTTCCACCAGATGCTTCATAGTAATTGAAACACCATTACAGTCGCTGAACTTCTTGTTGCGACACCCAGAGTTTTACAGGCAATTCAGTTCTGTTTTTGATGCACAGGCTGGATCACACAATTCTGCTTCTCCAATCCCACTTACCTCTGTAAACTTTTTTCGACTATTCTAAGCAGGATGGAATGGACATATTTCGGCGACAAACGAGATTCAACGAACCTGTTCAGTTTGGGAACCCATGCACTCTAATTATTAGTATATTATCAGTATATACTCCGAGTAGGTGATGCACACGCAAGCAATATTTTGTTCCCAACGAAACTTTTGTAATTAACTTGCCATATCCCTACAGGAGTCTCTCGTGGACTACGAGAATAAACCGTTTATTTACTACTAATTTTGCCCTTTTCATGGTGTTCCATCAGGTCAGATCATACAGCTCTTGTCGCCACCACTAATTGCTGCTCGCTTACCTGATCGTCCTGATCTGTGCATACGAAGCATTGGTCAGTGTGTGCACAAAGCAGAGGTTGAAATGTTTTCCTGTGCATTGGTTTTCTCCTCGGTGGATGTTTACGTGGTGGGCTCAGACGTTGCGGTCTACCGCGAGTCCAAAGTCGCTCACAAGCGTCGTTCAACCGCGTGACTATCGAACGGTGTTCCGAATGTACCTTGTCAACCAGGCTCCAACGGTGTTCCTTCGGGATTTGTCGTATAGCCGCCCAATAGATGAGACCACCAAGGCCGATCAGGAAGACGGTTAACACGATCAAGGCTGTTAACGTGCTGGCTCCATTCGGAGACGCTAGGAACGAGCGGTCGAACAGGTTGATTGATTCTAGCAGATCCCACAAACTTTGGCTCGTTGCGTTTACACCAAGTGTCAGGTTCATAGTCTTCAGTGCTGGTGACAAACGTTTACCAACGGTTGAGCATATGACGTCACCTGTCTGATGGTCGAAGATCCGATGATTGTAGACCGAGGGGCAAACTGCCGTACAATTCCACTAAAAATCAACCATAAGGGTGTGTCCACTGGTCACAGTAGGAAAAACTAAGGTATGGTGATAAAAAAGGCGTGACGGATAAGAAATCTAGATTACGGGCGTTATCGGTACCGGTTTTCATGACGAGAGGACTTCAAGGTACAAAACTCGTTCTTATCAAGAAGCAGTTCGTTACAAGCAATCTCAAAGCAGTATCGTGGGTTTCACAAGTTATTAGAAGTGCGCAGCCGTTATACATGACGCGGTAGTTTGTGGTCGTATATTTGAAGATCCTGATTCGTCAAAATGGGACCGCAGTTTTATGATCAATCGGCTATTTTCAGTTTTTCTGTTATTCAGCCTGGTTCAAATGTGCACGGTCAACACATTGACAACAATGCTTATGAACGGAGGGCAAAAACGAATTGTCATCAAACAGAGCATATCGACTGTCTGATAGCGCATCAGAGGGCGCGGCTCGTTGCAACCACAAAAATGTTGGAAAACCGAGCCCTGTTTTTCAGCAAGAAAAGTACATCAAGTAAGCCTTGATTTTTGTTTATCAATTTCCAGTTATCCTAGTGGGAACTTAAACTTTGTTTTTTCAGGGTTTTCTGAAGAGGCAACAAACTTTGATTTCTAACTCTTCGATACTTTCCTTCAGGCTAACATTTTTGCCAACTTGAACTGGAATGCAACGCTAATGGTTATACAAGCCGAGCAAAAGATTTCTCCCCGGTGATCATTACAGGCACATAGTAGCTTTAATTAGCGCTTCGAACGGATCATCCTTCTAAGGGTAAAGTCAAAGTACGTTGCTTCTACCGAGCATGTCAAAGTGAGGTGACGCGTCTACTCTAACTTACCCTTTCATCACTGAGGAACTTCTAGTGGATCCGAAGATAAGGAGCAGTTTTCCATGACGCGTTTTTTAACTTAACTCCGGGGATATTAGTTTGTCTTACTGGTCAGTATACTACTTTGCTTACAAATACATCTTTCAGGGTAGGCTAATAGTTCGTTTTGTCATATTGCAAGACACACTCAATGAATGTCGCTATTTCCCCAAATACGCTTCCTGAAGGTGACTGCCTAATCGTGATACTGTGATGGAGGCGGGCGGTTGTCGATGTGGTACAGTCTCTCAGTACGGTCTTTCACGTTCTACCGTATTTACGCAGCTGAGGCGCATCTGCAAATAATCTGACATCCCTCACTGAGACCATGTATCAGTCTAAACAAAACACTACCATCTAGGTTAACGGAGATCGACGCGATACGCAGCAAATCTAACTATTCGTCCATTGACATGATTTTATACTTAACTACTGCACCATAAATTTCTGAAGATTACAATTTATTCCACGGGCAGCATGCATCCAGATTAAACTGCTACATTTTCTGGCTGTGAGAAATTATTGATAGAATTTGCTTGCGGTGTCCGTCATGTCAGGCCATGTCGAATGTTGGTTGATATGCTGTACAATATCTTATAGAAGATAATGTGTGCCGGTCTTTTCAGGACTTGCAGGCCCGTAGCATAGAGTTAACGAGCTTGTCTTGTAATTTTGCGGCGTTGGTTTGAGTCTGCATAGGGGCCGGGTGATCCTCGCAGTATCCTCAGCCCCCGTGTGACCAGTTGTGTTTGCGCGGTAGCGAAGCGGAGGTACTGCCTACCGGCGTATTGCTGATGCTTTCTCTCAGGACTTACTGACGTCCACATTTGATGTTCGACGGTAACACAGATCAGCGTTAGACATAAAATGGTTTGCGCACTCGTGTTTGCTATGTTTGCATACTGACAAGGTGTCAATTAGTTTTATTCCAACTAGTAACGAGTACCACATCAGGCCAAAAGTACCAAAGAAGCGATCAACACGTTGGCGTATTGCGGAGGGAACTCGGGTGGTTTGGGCCTTTCATCTTCTCTCAGATGCTCAGTGCTAATACTTGGCCTCGTTTCGCATATGTCATCCACGCCAGCTAGCCTTGGCAAGAGCAGGATGTTACCGCACTCGCGATTCCACAATTTAGGGGTTGATCCACTACCTTCAACAAATGAGACTACAAATCCTGAGGGTCTACATTGGACGGTACCGACACATGTGTGTCTAATTGATAATGCTGCATCAACTCATGAGGAACCTCCACCATTTCTGTCGTCCCCTTCAGAACTGGAGCCACAATACCACACTGAGACACCAACAGCTAAACTTGGCCACACCGTAAAACCGGTGGGAATGTTGCCTGAATTTATTCTCACTCCGTATGTACAAACTGTGGAACGCCTTCCCCACTTACATTATTTCTTCCCCGAAGTGTCGGCCAGTGACCGAGTAGTATGCGCGTCTGGTTTGCAACCATAATGTCACCGGTTCGAACCTGCGTAGGGGCGGGCGTCCTCAGGGTATAAGCCCACCCGCGACTGGTGGTGGTCGCGTGGCAGCGAAGCGCCGTTGGGGCACACAGCTTTTTTACTTTTTCCCCGAAGTTCCGGCAGTCAAATATGTCTGGTCGATGCGCTCATATTTTTGCATCACGTGACACAGCCCTTTCTACCCACGTGTCAGCTTAACATTCTGGTCAGTCCACCAGCATTTGCCTGACTTGGTTGTGGTCAATTTGTGTTCTGGATTAGTTGCTGCTCTATCTTTGAGACCTGTTAATCGTCTATTTTAGCAAAGCGTACGATAAAGTGAACTTTGAGGCTTTCCTTCACAAGCTGAGCGGGTTTCATGTTGGTGGCCCACAGCCACACACACACACGCCTGAAGCGTGGGCTCCCGGGTCATTTGGAATAATCCTGTATCTTCTCTCTAGCATCTCACAATATAGTCACCGTACGCTCATTCGAACCAGATTTACCAGCTTTACACAGGGATCCATCATTACTGGAAGCATCTTTTACCACTGAAGCCCTAGCCATCGCTAACGCATTTGACTGTCATCCGTGGTTGAACGCAAGTGGAGAACTCATTCACCTTGTGCCTATTGCCCTTCTGTGTAACACCATTCGGCGCAGAATACTCGAACTAGTCCGAAAAGCCTAAGCTTATTCCAATGGGGTGTTTTTCAACGCATCTGGGCAGGAATTTATACTCTTTCAATCCGTGTTCAGCGTTGTGTTTAGATTCATTTACTAGGTTGCAAACCAGCCGGGCATAATATCGATCGATCAACCGACCAACACTGCAAGGTGTGCTTACAATGGTGCACTGCTGACAGCGAGCGCGCCACGCTGCCTCACGCTTAGCAGTGACGTGTAAAGCTGCACTAACTGATAATTCGATAAACACTTCATGCTCGCGGCGAACATGTCTCCCGTTAATATCAAGTGTGAGTAGTGTGTTAAATTGGTGAAGAGTGGGCTAGTTTGCAGCAGTTGCTTGAAAACCTATCACACAAAATACCTCAGAACGGGACCGATAAAAACGAGACGGTACAATAACACGACAGAGGCGTTTTGGTCCTGCCCACTATGCAGTGCTATCCCAGTTGTCAGCTGTCTAGCCGTACTACTAAAGAAGTGTGCAACACTAACAGAAGCAGTCGAACAACTAGGGTGCGTCATAGTCACGCCTATGGAAGGTGACGGACCTGCATCTGTATGTGAAAATAACACCCCGAATTCCCCATTCAGAGTGAAGAAGGGAGCCGGATGTCCCAACCTTTTCTCAACGACTCAGCCTCAATCAGTACCAACTCCCTTCTCTCGCTCATATGAGTAGAAACCTTGTCGAGAGTGTGCCTGCTTCTACTTCTGTACAGTGTGTTACATCTAGTAGTTTGCTCGCTGTACCGGAGACCCAAACCTGTAGTCAACCAGACATAGTGAGGAAGCAGGTAACATACGCATCTGTTGCCGCCAAGCAAACACCGGAACTAGCGCCGGTAACCTTGGTGAGCAGACTAGGGAAAACTAAACAGTCGCAGCACGGATGGCCTTCATCAGTACTGTTCACCAATTCACCAAAAGCACCGGAAACTATAGCTCCAAATCCAGTAGCCACCAGGCACAACCAGGTTACCTTAAACCTTGTGCGCACTAATGTCCCCGAATCCAAATGCAATAGAATCAAGGGTAGGCTGACAGACGATCGAATTCAATGCAGTTTCATCTGTACGGCAATCGGTTTCCATGCTGATCTCATGACATTAAAAGGCATCTCGGGTCACCCAAACGCATTGCACTATGTTGAACCCCGATTACTTAGGGTAACACTGAACTCGGCGGATGTTACAGAGGCCGTTCTGCTTTCTACGAATCGACTCCGCAACCTCTCGAGTGGAGTGCGCACACTACCTGCAATCCAGTAGAAAGAACCTTCAACTGAGTCCAATAACAGAGAGAAGAACAAAAAGGGTCAAGATAAGAAAAATGTGATTGCTCACTGTTTTCCTGAGCTTACTGATTCCTCCTCCGGCGATGCGCAGGTATACGAACGGTAACAATGGCACTACATCCGTGAGGCTCTTTCTCTCGAAAATGTCGTGGCCACGTCGTTGACAAGGGTCCCCGTAGCACCGAACTAAAAGGGTGTGGTCCCAGGATGTTGAAACTGGGGTTACCATCAGAACTAACAGCAAAAAGTCTTCTGGAGAACTGGACTAAGTTCCGTAGCAGGTTGCCAACAGAAATTCGTCTGAAAGCAGCAGGAATCCCACCACCTGCTAAAGCCACCTCAGTGAAGGCGCAACTCTTAATGAAAACATCTACTGTAGGACCGGAATCAGGGACGGTTCCAACAGTAGGCATAAGATACAGTGGAACACAACAGAGCAAGAGTGAACACTGGGATTCGGGGCATCTGATACTTGAATATACACTAACTTCGTCTCGGGAGTCTGCAACCTATCCAAAAAACGATTAGCGGCCGATCTTACATCGGTCGGAGGAAACTCACTTGATTCGTCCATCCAATCCAACACATTGTTGCTCTCCGAGAAGCTCTCAGGTATGTACACGATTGCGCAAGACCTACTCAGCAAATTAGCTTGATTAAGGCTTCTAAACGCGCCAGCGGCTTGGAAGCTCATCGCTTTCACCGAAACCTGGTTGTGCTGTAAGATAACGGATTTCGAAACCGCACTAACAGGTATATCTGTTGTCCGGCATGATCGCGCCAGGAAAGGTAGTGGGGTAGGCCTCTACTTTCGTAACAACCTGCAGTGTGAAGCCATACAGGATTCGGAAACCGATGTGCCTGACTCCATTTGGTGCGGTTTCCGGCTAATTGGTTACGATCTTGGCCTAGTGGCTGTTGTTTACCGCCCACCATCGTCCCAACCTCCGTTGGACTGCAACTAGGTAGCTGCGTTCAGGCAGATGGTAAACAGGAAGTACATTCATATTCTAGTCACCGGCGATTTCAACGTACATGCTCTAGAATCCCAGGCCACACCAGCAGAGTAATTCATAGCAGACCTGAAAGATCTTTCTGCAGTTTCCGCTTTATGGTCACATCAATTCGCCTAGCAGATTCATGGGAAATAACAGGTAATCCATATTGGACCGAATATTTACTAATGAAGGACTGACGATCGAGAGAGTGATAAGCGGTACCCCTCTATGCCGCAGTGATCATGCGACTTTGCATTTCATGTACGATTGCTATGCTGAGTATGCCGAGGATGGGAATCAAACAACGCGTACTGTAACCAGTTACGACACCTTAACCCGACTCGTTGAGGCAACCGACTGGAGTTTCCTAACCGATAATGAGCCCGCTAATGCCTGGGAAGTTTTCGTCAGTAAGTTTAACACCTGATTAGTGGAGTATCGGAAACCAAGACTATCAGTAGGAGAAACATGGTGTCGTTTATACGGAGTAGGACACGTAAACGCATAGTGATGCGCAAAGCGGCGCGGTATACCCACAAAACCGGTCAGAGTCAGAGTACCTGGAAGGGCTATGTTGTCCACCGTTACCACTCTACCCAACTAGGGCGCGAGGACAAAGCAGCTTATAAACATGCTTTAGCCGAGCGACCAGCATAAACTCTTAAGCTTCTGTACAAGCAGTGAAGCGCCTCCGCAAAGTGAAAACTACATTTCCCCATCGACCTGGGGTGGTATGAACGAGGTACACCTCAAGTGAACCGAGGTCTCAATAGAGATTGCTTGTAGCACCCCAACCACACAACGGATTCTCCACGTTCAACTGAGTTCGTTTCCGCTGTACCAAACATTGCTCACGGGTCTCAGTGGCATATTGTTTATAAAGTCAGCCGTGGACCACTAGGCTCTGATTTCCACCCCAACTTAAACTATTTCCGCCTGATAAGTTCAACGCAGGACGAAACCGCGGTCGGGTAGTGCCAGTGTTGGGATGATCGACACCAAAGTATTTCATTTCATATACGATGCTTTTGATCGGAATAACCTAGGTCCACCCCAAGTGATGCGAGATCTCAATAGAGGTTGCTTGTATTAACCCAGTCACACAGCGGATTCTCTTAGTCCAACTTTGGATTTCCCCATTTTCAAACAGGGGATGGTCTAACTCGGACTTCTGAAGAAGCCTCGAATGTTGTGTAACAACAATATGCACCAGCGTTTCTTTTCATCCCGTGGTCTCCTGAATCTGTGGAACCTATGGTGCTCACACCAGGACTGACTTATATAAATTTTACGGCAGACATCGTGATGAGAAAGCTGCTATCCATGCGCCGTCACGCCTGTCCAGGAATTGACGACATCCGCCTAAAGACGCTTGATGTGGCGGCTACTATTTTGGCTGAAACATAGGCGCGGCTGTTCCAGCACTGCCTTGACGAGCGGTACGTTCCTACAATGTGGAAACAGGGAATAATAACTCCCATTTACAAAGGGGTTAGTCGTTCCGACCCAGCCAATTATCGACCAGTGATTCTACTACCAGTTCTTTCAAAAGTTATGGAGGCTATCATTGCCGACGCACTCCTGTCTTATCTGGACGGTTTGGGTTACATTGCTCAGCAGAAACATGGCTTCCGCCGAAATCGGTCGTGCACAACCAATCTATCGTTAGCACGAGACAGCTGGACCGAAACTGTGGACGCTTGTACAGAAGATGATGTGGCTTACCTTGATTACTCTAAGGCATTCGACCGGTTGGACCATCGTATACTTCTCGACAAACTTCAAGGATGTGACATTGAAGAACCTCTCCTCCGGTAGATCTGCAAGTTTCTCTCGCAAAGGGATCTGGAGGTGCGAGTAGGTGAATCAATGTCAGATCCAATTCAACTTGAATGCGAAGTGCCACAGGATACGGTATTTGGGCTCCGTCTATTCTTGGTCTTTATAAACGATTTAGTGAGTCAAATTGCGTCAAACTGTTTAATCTACGCCAGTGACCTTAAAGGTTGGTGAGTGATCCGAGCTTCCAAAGACCGTATCCAACTTCAAATCGATCTTGCTAAGATGTATGGATGGTCGGTCAAAAATCGTCTTTCCTCCATTTAAGACACTGAATGATTCCCACATATAAGCTGGGGACCAGGATCTGCAACGCTGTTCCCTCGAAAAGTATCTAGGTGTGTTGGTTCAAGAAGATCTCGGCTGATCGGAGCAGTCTAAAGAAGCATCGAAGAAGGGGATCCAAATCGGGCGGTTTTATGGACAGCTTTCGGTCAATTCGAACCGTGGATTTTCCGCCAAATACTTCCCGCTTATATACGCTCTCATTTTAAATATGCAATGCATGCATGGCACCCATGACAAAAGCGAGATCTCACGGTCTTGAAGCTTCCACAACATCGGGCCACCAAAAATGTCAAGGGGTTGCGCTACGTGTCATACGAACATTGCCTCCGTGCTTGGTATTTACAGTGAACGTCATCGCTGTTTGCATCGTGACCTAATCATGGTTTGCCAAATATTAAACAACACTAATCACCCCTGCTATCACCTATTGAAACTGAGTCACAACAGCCAACTGGGAGGTTATCATCACAACTTGACAGAACCATAAATCGGTTGGAGTGTCGAAGAAACTGCTTCTCGTTGCGTGTTTGTCACATGTGGAATACCATCTCAGAAGCCCTTATTTCTGCCCTCGTTTTAACCGTATTCAAAGCACGTGTCGATAGTGCACTGGCACAGCAGAAAAACAACAACAAACCAACCCACCATTTTGCACGGAAACCACAGACGATAACCTTGCATAATACATAAAACGGACTGGAACGCTGAAATCGGCAAGTTCGCAATTTGCGGTAGTCCACTATTTTCTATTGCCATTTTTACTTTGATTTTGCTCAATCCTAACCGATCATCTGGCGGGTATGTCAAACTTCGGATTTTTATTCGCAATATGCCGTTGACCATTGGCCATTGCACCAATGGATACGAAAGTTTCTCGCGGGATGAAAGTGGTGGGTACAGGTCCAGGGCCCTCTAATAGAAGCCTATTCCAAGGCACGGTACTGGGGACCACTCTACTCCTAATCCACATCAACGATCTACCTAAGCTTCCTCAATCGCCTTGTGTCTTGTCTGCGGATGACCTGAAAATGTACTGAGAAGAGCTTCGACAATCACGGCCTATTGCACCATGAGATCAACCAGATTTTCATGCCGTCTGCAGAAGTCCGCCTCCAGGTCAGCCTATTCAACTCAGTGTTCATGAGCTTGGGGTATGGTGGTGGCGGCCGAAATTACACTCAAGACGACCAAGTGATGCATTCCACACCTTCCATGAATGACCTAGGCGTACTCTCACGGTGCGCTTTGAGGTCCGTGGACAACATGAACGAGCTACACCGAAATGGACTGTGTATGCTCTTGAAGTGTAAAACACGGTTTCTACAATTGGTCCGAATAGGTTATCACCTGCAGCTTTTCCTCCATCATAAGACTACCGGTAGAGTATGACTTGCCTGTCTATTGCCTCACGGGCCATAGCGAGGCACAGAAGATAAGACAGATGCAACACGTTGCAACCGAGTTCAATTCACTCTGTCGTGTCGTCGGGTGCGAATCAACGTCATTCTGACCTGCCACATCCTACCTCCCCTGCTGAGTCCCATGCTACACACGCAGACACCAGTGCAAGCATGTGATCCCGGGGCTGAAACCAATTTCCCCCTTCCTGTACTTTGAAAAACAAGTGATCAACTTTTGGCACATGTGGCCAGAGGAGCAAATTTAGTGCGGCAGTTCAAAACATTCGAAATGATTTGGAATATTCGTAGCTCGGGAGGCTTGCTCAGTTGTTGTGGAGTACTCCGAGCTGCGCAATTTGATTGCAAACGTTTCGCCGTCATTCGAGGTGTCATCTTCAGTGCGAGATTGATAGCAGTTAAGTAGCGGTAGCTGGTAGAAAGCAAACCCAATAATGGATCTCCATTGGGTTTGCTTTCTACCAGCTACCGCTACTTACAGCTATCAATCCCGCACTGAAGATGACACCTCGAATGGTGGCGAAAAGTTTGCAATCAAGTTGCCCAGCTCGAAGAACTCCACAAAAACTGAGTTCAAAACATTGTTGGGTGTGCACTTCTTCAAAGTCAGATGCAGAAAACTATTACCCACTTAGAATGACATATCACATTTGTGAGTCCAAAGTTACTCTGTTATATATCTTTTTACCTATCACATGAGAACAAGAAAAGCGATCAGGGTATCGACAGGTCATAAAGACCTTTCGTGTTCTTTTTACTAACATTTTGGTCATATTTCCTTGAAGTTGTAGAAACTTAAAGATACATCCGCTTCCGCAAAATAGTTATTGTTTCCACTGTGGCAACCAGAAGTAAACTTTTTAGAACAAGGTCTAAAATGCGTAATGCCTTTACCTGGGTTTTTCTGCTATTCAAGTAAATTTTCACGTGACGACAGCGATGGCACTCGGAGTTTGAAGGCCCAGTGCATCCACTTTGGCATTGGACGTGACATGGATGACAGTACAGATGCCCATGTGGTTGCCCCAAAGCAGCTGTTTCCAGTTCGGTTTCACTTGTCAAGGAATAGTCATCTTTAGCGTTGATATCCATCGATGCAGAAGCATAAGTGCCTGTGTAAAGTGGCACGGTTAAGTGACGATTGGTTAGTACAGGTGAAATCGAATGGCTTAAACTAGCACGCAGTGCTGTGGTTTGAACAAAAATGCTTTAGCAAGGGCCAAAAGACATACATTTAACAAGTCCCGTAGGGGTGTTTCTGTTTAAGGCAGAGGATTACGAGAGAAGTATGTTACGTCACAGCATTGTCGTTGATTATAGCGTAGACAGATCTCTTTGGTTAATACTTCATCATGCATGTTATCCCTTAGTTCGATTTTAAATTGGCGCCGTATATCGATACTTTACTCTTCTCTATACACAATTCACAAAATATATTCCATTTCTTGCTCATTTTGAACACCCACTGAATTTAGGGTATTGGTGGTTTTGTGAGTAGGTAATTTTGAAGAAAGTAGAAGTCACGACTAAACTTCGCAAATAAACTGCGTCGAAGCGGAATCGAACACTGGACATACGGACTACCAGTTCGCTGCGCTACCAACTGAGCTACCGAGGACTGAGGATCACGTGTGCAATTTAACACCTGACTTCTGCTTGGTTCGCGACGTATTGCCAATGAGCTCACAGTAGCTGTCCTGATGTTGCAGATTGGCTCACTCACTCGTCACTTCCCAGTGAGCCGAAGTATCTGACCTCCAGATGTTCAAAGGGCGATGGTGAGTTTTTCTGCTTTTTTGTTTTGTTGGTTTTGTTTTGTTTTTCTCCCCATTGAACGCCCCACTTCCGTGACCTAAAGGAATCCCCACCTGTAATCTGATCCTATCTCGCGTTGGAGTGATGCGCGTCAGTTCTTGCCTTCTTGTTTGATGAACATGCTGATGAAAATATCACCGTATAAGCAACAATAAACAATGAACAACGATTTATAACGGGTAAAAATGCAGTTGCTTGACATATATCTTAGGGTGGTTAGATTGAGAAATGATAGATCAAGGGACAGTGGCATAGCCGGTTCGGGCGATTTCAGATTTAACTACACTGTCGTATAAAGAGAGTTTGAAATTAGAATGTGCGCACAAAAACAAAAAAGGGAGTAGTTATTGATCACGTAATAAGCGAGAAAAAATAAAATAGCAAGGACAGCGCTTACTCGTGTGCAACAATCTCGGAATCACAGGATACAGAAATCCAGTTTCTACAGTAGTAGCGTCTATCAAATTTTGTGCAATGGGTTTGCAGTGACTCATTCTCGAGTTGGGGTATGGCACCATCCATTGTCTGTTGTGCATTAGTGTCAACAGCTGGTGGTCATGAGCTATAGTACGTAGTGTAAATGTGACAGCGTATCGTCAAGGCGTTTTTTGAAAAGGGTTGGGGTGGGAGCACTAATTACACGTTCCGGGATGGTGTTCCAAGACTGTGACGCACGAAGGAAGAGAAAGTTTCGCCGACATTCGAGGCGGCTGCGTGACCAGCTTAAACTGGTGACCCCTTAGCGGGGTGTTTTGACTGAGTATTAGGTGGTTGGGGTTTCTCAGAATCAAGTACACCGTTATGGGATCGCCACTTAGACGCCGATAACCTCCACTGTATATTTTGGGAGTCTTCAGCCTGAGTGGATAGGGGAGACTGGTCAAACCGCTGACGCTCTTCGTTGCCCTACTTTGTGCAGTATCGAGCGCGGTGAGATGGTGCTTGAGCCAGGGCTGTCACGCTTGAATAGCGTATTCCGCGTACGGCCTCACGTACGCACAAAGTATTGTTGGAGGGACTGAAGGGTCAAACTTCCCGACGGCTCTGGGAAGAAGGCCGAGGTACTGGCTTGCTTTCTTAGCTGCCTTTTCAGTCAGCCTCAACCAACCGAGGTCATCTTGAACTAGCACGTTGTGATCGCACTCGTGAGAAGCACGCTGTAGAATTTGTGGTCCTAGACAGTACTTGTGCATACTCTTGTACCGTATGCTAAAAATTTGCACTTGTTGACGTTGAAATGCAGCATGTTCTCGGTGGACAATGCGTACGCTTTGTGCAGTTCCTCCTGTAACACTGTGTGATCCTCCACTTCAACTATAGTACGCCACACCTTTAGATCATCAGCAGATAGCAAAAAGTTAGAAGTTAGCACGCTCGCGAGATCATTTATGAAAACCAGGAACAGGCAAGGTCCAACTACCGAGCCCTGAAGTATATCGCACTGAACTTTCATGGATTCCCATAGGTTGCTTCGAACTCTCACATTCAGGTGACGTTGCACGAGAAAGTCTCCTATGCAGCCCAGAACTGGATCGCCGATTCCATATTTCTGGAGTTTGTGGAGAGGATGCCGTGGTCTAGACGGTCGAATGCTTTTGAGATATCCAGGTAGGCCGCGTCGACTCGTACACCAGCGTCCACAGATTCCGTCCAGCTAGCACGAACAATCAACAGATTAGTGGTACAGGACAGATTTTGGCGAAATCCGTGCTGCTCCGGAACGAGAATTTTGTTGTTCTCCAGGTACCCTATCAAAGCCTCAGCTACAATGGACTCCATAACCTTGGAGGTCACAGGTAGTAGTGTTTTCGAGCGATAATCTGCTGGTTCAGCACGGATGCCACTTTTGTAGATTGGCGTGATAATTCCGCGCTTCCACATCGTGGCGACGTGCATCTCGTTCAGACATCTTTGAAAGAGAATTGCTAGTGGCGGCGCTAAACTGATGGCACCAACTTTCAACGCCATCGGGCGAGTGCCGTCCGCACCCGGGGAGCTGAACTCCAGCAGAGACATCAACCTCTTCAGTGCAGCTCAGAGGTAAGCGATATGTGATTAAGCCCTGATGGCGGCATTATCTGCTTAGACAGGACGTATGATGATTGCATTCTTTGGAAGGTAAGGCCAAATTGTTGTCCAGAACGTTGGCCGCCTCCTGTGCGGTTTGGGCTAACCCGCATGCTGTGCGCAGAGCAGAAATATCACGCTTAACAAGTGAGCTCGTGAAAAGCTGTTATAACATCGATTACAATTCTTCTTGTGCCTTGTGCTCGGACGAGTCGCAGTGGACCGTTGTATCCTGCCTTAAACTGTAACTAACAATGACATGATTATCGTTTCCCGTTATTTTGTGTTCGTGCATCGATTAACTCACTCATGTGTTAGTTTACGCTCCAAATTTAAAGACCTGTTAGTTAGATCAATCTTTTCGCCATTATTCCATGTGCGTACTTTGTGTTCAGGAGCCAAGTATAGATCGAGCAACTACTTCGTGCCTCATCTGCGTAAGGGCAATCGTGTTACTCCAACAGCAGATACCGCATACATGGAAAGAGGTCGGTTGCTGGACCTCGATAGCCATAACAGCAGCCGTTTACTCACCGTACAACTGGCCAGCAGCCGTACTAATACATATATATATATATATTCGCAGGAGAGCCTAGGTGTGCTGAGGCTGGTGATGGCTAGGTCCTGACAGACGGTCTATCCACTGCTGCTACAGTGGTGCCATTGGCTCATGTGCGGAACGCCTCCTCGTAGCGACCGCTGGGTGGGACTTGGGTTAGGCCCCTTCTCCCTGCAAAGATCCAGGACACCAATCCGCAAGCGTCACTGAACTGACCATGTGTTAGTCCCGCTGCCTTTCGAGTGTACATTTAATCGGAGGCTTTTGTTGAGGACCCGAGTTGTTCTAGTCTCAGGTATGGGCACCCTGCCAGTATCCTTGTCCATTCTCTTCGGAGGTTAGGAAGTAGTCGATGGCCCACTACCTATAAAACCTAGCCATGGTAGACAACAGGTCTATTGGTTATAACCACACCGCTCTATAGCTATACAACACTAGCGCCACACATTGTCGCTGACGGTGGGAGAGCACATCCGGGTGTTCAATGATTTACTACTGCCCGCCTCAAGTCAGGTAACCCCGGGTCAAATAGGTGCAAACCATCCAAAACCCTCCTCCGTCTGGCCATGGTCGCAAATGCATCCTACTACGGTCGCAAAACATATATCTCTTGTTCCAGTACCTCAAAGGCTGCGTATGACGGACCTCAAGCAGAGCCGAAGCTGTCCCTGCAATCACATTCCGCAGCTGGATTTGCTCCCCACTGCATTGTGGGTCAGGCTATTGAGCCAAAGGCTCCGGGTGGAGTCCCTCAAGCAAACCTCCGAAGCACAACGACCATCTCGCGTGCGATTGCCCACCAATGCAATCGTATGCCTGCGCGCAAAACACTCAGCATCGGGTGCTGGAACGTGCGCACACTACTGGACCGGAACTCCAGCGAGCGCCCTGAGCGACACAGTGCACTGGTCGCGCTGGAACTTACGCGATACAACATCGAGATTGCGGAGCTCAGTGAGACCCGACTCGCTGAGCTAGGTAAGTTGCATGAAGTAGGTGCTGGCTACACATTCTACTGGGTAGGCAACGCCGTCTGAGCACCACGTGAACATGGGGTCAGATTTGCAAGATCCCATGGTCTCTATGGCCAGCTGGTGGGTGAACCAACAGGCATCAGCGCGCGACTGATGACTGTTCGCCTACGACTCGGAAGAGGTAGGTTTGCCATTTTCATAAGCACGTACGGTCCGACCATGTATTATCCTGTTGACACGCGTGATCAATTCTACACTCAGCTATCCTCCGTGATACGGTCTGTACCGAGGAGCGGCCGACTATTTCTGCTAGGTGATTTCAACGAGCACTTTGGGCGTGATGCTTCGGTATGGATAGATATTAGCGGTCGGCATGGCATTGGTTCATCGAATCCGAGCGGTGACAGGCTACTCTCACACTGTGCCACTCACGGCCTGACGATCATGAACACTCGGCTTGCACTGAGTGCGAGTGATATATGAACTTGGAGGCACCCACGGAGTGGTCAAGCTCACCCGCACGACTATATCATCGTAAGTTAGCGTGATACGCGTGAGGTGTGCATAACACGTGTACTGCGTGGAGCTGAGTGTGGCACTGATCACAGATTTGTGCGGTCCAATCTGTACATATATTTTCCTGAAGCTATGTATTGCACTCCCGCCGTGAATGGGCGTAAATTTAACATTTCTTCCT